AACACTGAGGGTTGCGATCCGTTGCCGGACACGGAAAAAGACAAAAAGAAAAAAAAAAAGAAGGGTGTCCCTACATTTCTGTGTGATAGTATAAATGGTTCAAGGACATCTGCTTCAGGTAGTGTTTTTTATTTTTCAGTATTTCATCCACACTTTCTGTCCCTGTCCACTATAAAGCTAACGAGGACCAAACTGAAGTAGACATAGAATTGAGATAAAGGTTGTGACTGATGGACAAACTGAATTCTCAACTCTCAAATCACTGATAGTAAATGCAAATATGAATCATTAATGGTAAATCTTAATGTGATTAATGCAGAAAGTCATTAACAGAGCTAATATATTTTGAAAACACATAGTAGTAACAGCAATAAAAACATGTCCCCTTTTAGGAAGGATGGATGGAGAATGCAAGTAAAAAGGACAGCAAAGACAGAGAAGAGGAAGTAGTAGTAAAGTTGAAAATGGAGAGATTAGAATGGCTGCCAAGTAAATCCAGCTATAATCAATCCTTCTCACAAGGGAAACACCAGAAAACCTTCCTGACCCTTACCTCCCTCTCTACTGAGCCCCCAACGTATAGTTGGTAGAGACTTGGTGTTTAGCTGCAAACTGACAACTGCTACCAAAGTTTCTCTCCTTTCTTTCAAACTTCTTCTTTCCTTTCTGGCATAAAAAAGCTTCCACACAGATTTGTGCAAGATACAGAAGAGTTAGGTAAATGAAAAGAAAATTAGGTTAGGCAAACGTGTGCATGTGTATGCATGCACGCACGCCAGCCAAAAACACTGTCTTTTGGCAGAACTATTATAATAGCTTCCTGATTGGCCTTCCTCCTTCCCTCTTGCCACCTTACAATCAAGTCTTCACTTTGCTTTTCAACAACAGTGGGAGCCACAGTTTCAAACCCTAAGTCTGCTCCATCTACACCCATGGAGGTTCTGGCTTATCCATACATTTCCAGACTCAGATAAGGTACTACATAACAGGGCATGGGATCTGACTTCCCTAGCTGCTGCTCAAGGGTTGTGCCAACACTGGCCCAAGTTGTGTTAATGCCTCAAGAGGTGAACTTTGGCCAATAAGAGACAGGAGATATGACTGTTCCCAGAGGTAGTAGTTTCACACAGTCTGGCTAGAAGATGTTCCATGTGACAAGACAAGAACTCAGTTTTCCTGCAAGGTTAAGATCTGCTTGGTAATAATGCCTTTCTTCTTTCCTAGCCTCATTTACTCTTCTTACTTCGGGTTTGTACTCAGTAAAACCTTAAGAAATTAGGCTTTACCTCCAGCTCTGTTTTCTAAGAAAACAAGACCAAAACCCTAAAGAGTAGGTGAAATGCACCTCCTTTGTATTCCTATAACACCCAAAACCTCCTTCTGCAATAGCACTAATTCTGTAGTCAGAGAGAAAATAGCTGTGTGTCCTTAGACAAAGTTATTTTACCTCTGAGCCTTGTTTCCCTTACCTATAAAATGAAGATTATAATAGAACCTACCTCAATAATAGAACCTACTGAGATAATCCATGTAATGTAAATAATTCCAGATATATGAAAAATACTTACTAAGACAGCCATCATTATGATTATGTCTTATTTATCCTTGTATTTCTAGTGTTTAACATATCATGTATGGGCCGGCCTGGTGGCGCACTCGGTAGAGTGCGGCGCTTGGGAGCGCAGCGGCGCTCCCACTGAGGGTTTGGATCCCATATAGAGACCGGTCCGCTCACTGGTTGAGCGCGGTGCGGGCGCAACACCAAGGGTTGCGATCCCGTTATCGGTCACGAAAAAAGACAAAAAGGTAAAAACAAACAAACAAACAACATATCATGTACAACACAGTAGGTGAGTCCAATGCCTAGTATGTTACAACGCTACATTTTCCCTGTATGTTAAAAATGCCTACTAGGTAGCAAAGATTAAGAGAGCTGTATGATCTCAATACAAAAGACTGAGGAATCTGTAAAAACAAATTAAATATATACATGAATGCTTTCTGGAAAATGTTCCTTTACTGCAAATTAAAATTAATTTTACATGAGTTTTTTTCCTCTCTAACTTATCAGGAAAAATAATTAAGTTAAAAGTACAGATGTAGTCAGCTTTTAGGCAAAGATATACTCTTCGAAAGATGTGTACAAATCAAATTTCTGTAAATCAAAACATATTTCACACACACTAAAAAAAAATCAGCCTTTAAATTACTTCAGGCCTAGCCAGTTAGCTCACTCAGTAGAGCATGGTGCTGATAACACCAAGGTCAAGGGTTCAGATCCCCAGACCAGCCAGGCACCAAATAAATAAATTAATTAACAGAGAATGCTACAATAAATTGTTTTCGTTAAATGAAGATTCCTTCACACTCATGGATTAGGCTGATTTATAATTTTGGTCTTAGATTTTGTTTTTATAAAGAAGAAAACATAGCAATCAATGTATTAAGCCAACAGTGTCAATCATTATAACTATGATGTTTATTTTCTCTAGTAAAGCAAACTGAATAGAAACAAAAGATTTCTTCATAACCAATGTTAAAAAGGAAGATCCCAAGACTTAAAATTATATATCAGCACTTGTACATATTTATGCAGTCTTTTGTGGCTATATGTGTGCATAGAGGTACTATTCACACACAAAACCCACAGGAAAAAAAAGGGAGAAAATCTATAAGAATTCTAATAATGATTATATCTGCATGGTGGTTTAACAGGTTACTTTATTGTTCTTATTATGCTTTTCTTTATTTCCAAAATTTCTTCAGCACACATGTATTAATGTTTAGGTTCTCAAAGAATACTCCTTTCAAAAAAATGAATCACTTATTTCTTGCACTTTCAGTTTTGCTAAGAAGTTGGAAACATCACCAGGTTTCATTCTCTAAAATGAAACCTTTTCTCTTTTCACAGAAAATATTTAATGGTTCACCTGGTATTAATGGCTTGAAGAAAATTATACTGATATTTCTGGTAATAAGTTTTATGATCTCTAGTCTTCCTGATGTTCAAGCCACATTCCTACTTCTTTGACTCTATTGATGGTATACAGGTATTGCTCTGCTTCCTGCAAATGCAAGAGATAAACACTATGTCCTCAGTAGTAGTTAATGCACTGCTCCTAGATAGAATTCCAGAAGTTTGTATCTCTTACAGGAAGATGCACAATTTTCCAGGCAAGAGTTGGCAACCTCGAGGACTTCTCATCACACTGGGAGTCTATGCCTTTGGTTGCCACTGCAATATACTGGCTCTCAATTACAGGCTTACCATATGAGTACGAAAAGGTTTGTGCAGCTCACTAATTGGAAACCCTGCCTTTCTAGGAAATGCTCTGCTCTGCAGGTAATATATTAAGATCTAGCTGCTTTTTTCCTCTTCCTTTGCCAGAACTTTTTTCTTTCTTTTTTTTTAGGTCAGGGGATCTTAACCTTGGTGTTGTTAGCACCACACTCTCTGAAGTGAGCTAACTGGCCATCCCAATATAGGTATCCGAACCCATGGCCTTGGTGTTATCAGCACCACACTCTCCCAAGTGAGCCACGGGCCGGCCCCTGCCAGGCATTTTTTCAAAGCCACATTTCAAGCACTATTACTCAGTTTTTATATTTTAAGTGACACAGTGTACTATCACTACAAGGTACACTGTGATAAGTTATATACTATAAACCTTAAAGCAACCACTAAAATAAGAAAACAGAATTATGGCTAACAAGACAACAAACGAGATAAAATGGAACCATAAAGTGTCAAGAGTCAAATGTAGCTTGATCCAAGGATTTATCCCTTAGAGATACTCCTTGATAAAATGTAGCACAATATATATTGAACACCATCCAGTGAAAGGTTAGTTTATTAAAACCTACTCAGAAGAATAATTAAGTCAATGAAAATGAGTGGCAAAAGCACTTACTGCCCAGACAGGTGATGTAAAGCCTAGAATTGTAGCCTTAGCTCCATCAGCAACATAAGGAATAATATTTTCTCCCAGACGTGCATCTCTGAACAAGGCTCTAAGAATATTTAGAGCATGAACCTAGAACAAAAATTTCAAAATTAGTTGTCAGTTGAAAACCATGGTAATTCAAAATCTGTACATATCCAACAGCACAGCCCCAAAAGAAAAAATTACTGAATTACAAAGAGAAATGAACAATCCACAAATGAAGCAGCAGATTTAATAAAACACATCCAATAATAAATAAACCCATTTAAAAACTTAATAATATTCGAATGATGAAATAATAAAGCTTGATACAATCCTGTACCTAACAAGTAGAGACACCATATTCTTTTCAGTCACACATGGAACATTAATTTTTTAAAAAATACCTCAGACCTAGCCACAAATAGAGTCTCAACAAATAACAAATCAGTAACTTACAGATTATGTTCTGATCACAGAGAATTAAGTTAAAAATGGCTTTTTAAAAAATACTTTAAAAACTGACACAACCCATTTTAAAATACATCAAAACACTGGGGAAAGAAAAGTTTTTTTTTAACATTTGGAGCTGAAAAATAATGAAGATGCCACATATCAACATTTGCAGGATGCAGCTTAACTGGAACTTAAAAAGAACAATAAATTCAAAATAGAGAAAGAAAATAAAAAGATAACAGCAGAAATTATTAAAATAGCAAAGATACAACTAAGAGCATTAAAAAAACCAAAAGGTGATTCTTTGAAACAGAAACAAACCTCTGATAAGACTAACCAAAAAGAAAAGAGAGGAGGCACGAATAAGCAATATTATGAATGCCAACGAGGACATGACCACAGATACAGCAGAAAATAAATGTAATACTATGAGTAATCCTACCTTAATCAATTTGAAAAACTAAGATAAAATGAATAACTTCCTAGAAAACAGAATTTATCAAAACAAATTCAAGGAGAAATTGAAAACCTAGACAGCTAGTAGCATTAAGTAAAGGAAATCAATAGTTAAAAATCCTCCTGGAGACTTAAAAAAAAAAAGAAAAACCCAACAAATTAACTGCAACAGTAAAAGAGACCCACATGATTTTACAGATAAATTCTACAAACATTCAAAGAATAGATAATGTCAATATTATATAAGCTGTTAATAAATTTATTTTATGAGTCTGGTACAGCCTGGCTATCAAAACAAGGTAGGGACAACTACTTCCAGAAAATGGTAGTATCTATTAAAGCTGAATATACACATATCCAGTAACCATTCTATAGACTCAACAGAAATGTACACACACGTTCACCATTAAGCATGTACAAGAATGTTCTTAAAAGGACTACCCACAATAACCCAAAATTAAAACTACCCAAAATCATCAACAGCAGAATGGATAAATTGTATACTACTATACAGCAATGAGAATGGATAAATTATAATACAGATGAATATCAAACATAATGTTGACCCAAAGAAACCATATCAAAAGCATGGCTTATAATGTATGGTTTCATAACATTCAAAACAGATAAAACTAAAAGTAAGGTGTTAGAAGTTAGGCTAGCAGTTACTCTTTGGGAAAGTGTGGTGACTGAAGGGAGCATGAGGGGGCTTTAGGTCATAGAAAAGTTCTACTTCTTGATAGTTACACAAGTGTGGTCACTTTGTGAAACTATTGAGGCACACATACGAATGACTTGTACACGTCTCTATATGTGTATTTATGATTCCATAAAAAATGTACATTTTAAAAAAAGGACAGGGACAGCATGAGAAAGGAAAGCCACCAGCTAATCTCAGTTATGAAGGTTCCCGCTCACTGGCTGAGCGAGGCGCGGGAGCAACACCGAGGGTTGCGATCCCTTGCCGGTCCCCGGTCCGGTACGGGGGCAACATTGAGGGTTGCGATCCGTTGCCGGACACGGAAAAAGACAAAAAAAAAAAAAAAAGATTAAGAATTAGAAAGGTAAAATAAACCTAGTATCTATTTACTGAGGGTATGATTATCTGTAAAGAACATCTGAAAGAATTTATAGACAAGTCAGTTGTATCACAGCAATTCAAGTAGGTTGTTGAATATAAGCACAAAAATCCAAAAAAATCAATTGCATTTTTATGTACCAGTAACAGATAATTTAATTTTTTAAAATATCATTTATAATTGCAAGAAAAAATAAGATATTTAGAAATAAATCTCACAAAAGATCAGTAAGACTTTTACAGAAAATTATTTTTTTAAAAAGTAAAAGACATTAAGGAAGATCTGAATTGTTCATGGAAGAGTCAATATGAAAAAATAAGTCATTTTTCCCAAATAAATCATTACATTTAAATTTCAGCCAAAATTCCAAAAGGGATTTTTGTTGAACTTAACATGCTGATTCTAAAATTTATATGGAAGAACAATGGGACTAATGTAGATGAGGTAATTCTGAAGAGATTCACCTTACCAGATATCATACTTACTATAAAAATATTGTAACATATGTGGCTTTGGCCCAGGGATAGATTAATAGACCAGTGGTATAGAGCACAGAAACAGAGCCATGTATCAATGAAAACAGTACATTAGAGGTAGTGTTATTAAAAAAGGGAAAAGTTGTATTATATCAAAAATGTTCATATATTAGTTATCTAAATGGTTGCATATTAGTATGCAAATGAAAAACAATACAACTATTTTCTTATTTCATACATAAACTGTACATTTTGGTGTGCTGAAATATTTCAAAGAGATACATAATAAAAATAATAAAGAAATAAGCCATGGAAGGGGAGAAGGAAAGCAAATTATCAACTAAAGCCTAGAATACTAGTCAAGAGACAAATTTTTAAATTTCACCAGTTTCATAAAAATGATCACTAACATGTCATTAATCACCTTGCAGCAGAGTTGGGCAACGATTATCCAGTGCTCTTTAAAACCAAACCCCATTATTTTTTACATGTTCTTATAAAAATGACATTTTTTAAAAGTGATAGTCTAGGAAAATAGAATCAATTATATTTTTCACATTTCATTGGACAATGTCTTGAAATGGTCATTTTTGAAAGGTGATTAATAAAAATTTAGTTGAAGTTTTTTAAAGAAATAAAGAAATTTCATATCTTACAGTTACTTGCCACTATGTGCCATATGTTAATAATCCCCATCCTTTTCTACCAGTCCACATTCTGGCCCATGGGCTCTCCTTTAACACTTCCCACAGGCTCTGAAACAAAATCATGTGTACTTATTGAACTTGATTGTAAACTTCAGCTCTCAGTCTGTTCCCTGACCTACCAGGTGCCTCCCACAGTTGGATAGGAAGTATTTACTGAATAAGCCTAGACTATAAGGCACAAGAAGTATTTGACAGGTATTTACTACCTATAGCAGTGGAGTAGATGTGAGGAGTGCTTAACCCAACTTCATATACACAGGAAGTGACTAAAAGGGACTAAATATTAGCTAAAATTAAAATGTGAATATACCAAAATTAGATACTATATATTAGGGAAATATTCAACTGTTGACTAAAAAATGTACATCAACTCAAAGAAGCACACATGAAGTTTTAAAGAGATAGCATGTTCATTTTCAAATTTTTAGATGCAATAGTAATATTATAAAATATCTTATGTAAGTTGGATATTTTCACCACATTAAAAATAGCTCATTTGGGGGCTGGCCAGTTAGCTCAGTTGGTTAGAGCACAGCACTGTAACACCAAGGTCAAGGGTTCAGTTATCCATACTGGCCAGCCACCAAAAAAACCCAAAAAACAAAAACAAACAAGAAAATAGTTCATTTTGATCAATGTATGTCAACTAAAGCAATGATTAATTCTGTATACAGGAAAGACCTTTTGTATACAGAAAAAAAAAAAAACTATTCAAATATGCTTCAAATATCTGTCCAATCTTCAAGAGTTCTATAACTTTAGTAGATATATATATATAACTAAAGCAATGATTAATTCTGTATACAGGAAAGACCTTTTGTATACAGAAAAAAAAAAAACTATTCAAATATGCTTCAAATATCTGTCCAATCTTCAAGAGTTCTATAACTTTAGTAGATATATATATATATTTTTTTAAATACAGCAAAGATTCAAAACCACTGCCCTCCTAGCAGTGTTTGTGTATATCCACTATTACCTGGGGGACAATGCTCTGAGAGTCATCTGTAGGCCCAGCCAAAGAGATTAACTCTTTCATTGTTATTTTCAACAAATCCATTTTGCCTTTCTTTGGTTCAGATGCCAACAGTGCCTATGGAAAAACAAGACAAAAATTAACAAGGCTCTCATTTTAGACACACCTATTTGCTTCCCTGAATCAATCCCAAAATGCAAAACCCCCTTTTATAAAAACAAGTGATTACCAAAGCAAGTTAATTAAGCCATGTGGCCTTGGGCAAGTGGCTTAACCTCCCATCCCTTAGATTTCTCATCTGTAAAATTAGGTGAAGGTGAAATCATGTTATCTCTAAGGTTACACTTCCAGTTTGCTTGTTAATTATATAATGCTGAGAGGCTGAGAAAGGTTTCTTATTGACAATTTCTTAAGAACCATAATTTGGTGGCAGGTCTCAGATACGAAAAGCAAGTCAGTTTTAGTAACAAATTAATTCAACAAAAAAATTCTCTTTTACTTAAAAAACAAAAAAATCCTGAATTGAGTTTCTTAAAAGTATTTTAAAGTGCCCTGGAGATTCATTAGTTATATAATTTTTCACAGAACAATCTATACCTAGAGGACTACTCAAATCATAGCATTTGTCCATGGGACAAAAAAAATACTATAAATTCCAAAGGGGTCCTAATTTGAATTTTCAAGGAGCTGCTATTTACTTTGTATCCAACATTTTGTCAATATCCATTAAACATAAAAATCAGATATCAACAACTTGAGGCAATAAAAAGGAATGAAGTACTGTTACAAACTAAAATATGGATGAACCTTGAAAACATGCTAAATGAAAGAAGCCAGACACAAAAGATCATATATTGTATGATTCCATTTATACGGAATGGTCAGAAGAGGCAAATCTATAGAGACAGAAGGTAGATTAGTAGTTGCCTAGGGCTGGGAGTAGCAGAGGTAAAGGGAAATGGAGAGTGATTGCTAATAGGTGTGGGGTATTTTGGGGGTGATGTCCTAAAATTGGATTGTACAATGGTTGTACAACTCTGTAAATATACTAAAAACCACTGAATTGTGAACTTTAAATGGGTGAACTCTATAGTATGTGAATTATTTCTCAATAAAGCTGTTAAAGAAAAATCATTTCAGTCACATTCTCAGACTCCCTTCCTCTCTATCTACTACTTTTCATTTGTATGGCTCCCAAGAGTGAAAGTTTCAAGCTACTCAACTTCTTGTGAAGCATTTATATTCCATAGAAGAGGTACATAAAGACACATACTCAAAAAAAGAGTTAGGTTCAAAAGAAATTTCTGACAGTATATTTATGCTCTGAAAACATACATTACTTTTTAAAATGACTATTCTTAAAAAATGTTTTATCTATCTACACAAAGGTAAGCTCAAAAACTAAGCAGGCAGTTTTTCTCCATAGCTAACACTAAGCAGAGGAGTCCACCAAAACAAAGAATATAACTTTACTGGTAAGTCATGCTAAAAGACATGGGGACTCTCTGTGAGCAGATTTTCCTAATGATTTAGACTTTAATCATGTAAAATAAGTAAGAAAGCTACATGCAATTACTGAAATGTCTCCTGGGAACCATGACTTTTTTTCTTCAAAGAGCTGGTCAAAATTATGACACTCTTGCCAACGCTAGGGTAAGAAAGTGCACCTCCTGATCACTCTGTCACGATAACCAGTATTTTGTACAAGTTGGGCACCAGAGGTAGAATAAGCACACAGCACAAATAAGCAGCACAAACAAACAACTCAGTGTTTCCTTAACATTTGTCTTCAGACAGATGAATAATGCATAAACACACCAGATCAGAATGAATTACAGGCAGGAGAATGAACCACACTGATCCAGAATGGGTCAGATCAGAGAGGAGCTGATTTTTGAAGGTCAGCAAAATCCATCCAGTAGAATTACCCCAACGATCTCTGTCAACAACCTCCATAATTGGTGCCCACTGTCTCCAAAAATTATGAAGTGACTTTGGGAATTGAGAGAGGAATAAGAAAGAGAAGGAAAAAAACGTAGTGGCACTAAAAAAAGAACAGAGACTTCATTTCTCTTCTTTTCATTCCTTTTATTATACCATCCCATTCCTGAACTTTATCTTACTGACTATTAAATATTAAAGGCTTTTCAGGATGGGGTCTGATTTAGTATTGTGAAAACAATGGTTTTTATTCTTCAGGATCATGAAGGTGATAGTCTCTTAATTTCTACACTGTGGAAATAAAATATTTTCCCATCAACAGCAATATCTGGGTATGCTGATAACGGGGCAATCTTTAGGGTATGATGTTAAGTGAAAAAAAGCAAGGAGAAAGTATACATAAATACATTTTCTCTGTGTTCAAAAGGAAAATGCACTCATACACATCATCACAAGCAGAGGGGCTCAGGAGTCAGGCTGCCTGGGCACAAGTCTCAGCTTGGCCTTTACTATTTCTGTGGCCATTAGCAAGTCACTTAACTTTTCTAAGCCCCAGTTTCTTCAACTAGAATATATGGATGACAGCAATGTCTATCTCACGGAGTTTAAAGAAGGATTAAATGAGGTAAAATATGTGAAATAACCACTAATAAATGTCAGCTATTAAGATTATGATCATTTTATGGATGGACGTTTTATGGAAGGATTGAAAAGAAACTGTTAAGACTGGTTCCCTACAGAGAATCTTGAGGGTCTTGAAATAAGAGGAAGACTATTTTTTTGTAATTAAAAAAAAAAAAAGCAACGTGCACTTCCTTGAAGTGAGAGATGAATGTGCTACAGTGATGTCTGCCTACTTAATACACAGGTGGAAATCTGTACCACCCTCTGTTTATATTGCAAGACTGACCTCTTAGGGGGTTTGTTCCAAGAACAGATCTGTCACAGGAACACACTGTTCATGCCTTAAAACAAAGCCACAAATGCTATGGTATTGAAGAGACAGAAATGTCCATCATGCAATATGCTTACTCACATGTCAAAGGGGTTAGAATACATTATCAAAAGACAAATAAACAAATAGGTGCAGTCCTATAGATAAGTACCTGTATGTAGAAAGGAATTCCAGCACTGCGCCTTGTAGCACAGAGTTTAGATGAAGGATCACTGCATTTAATTTCCTCTAAAACATTCCATAACCATTGTTCTGGCAGTTTTTGCAGACTCACATTAGGGCACCTAAAAGGCACAAATACACAAACATTTGGAATTATCAGGTACCAAAAAGTAAAAGTACACACTACTGACATTCATTAACAATGTTAGAAAAGAATAAATAATAATAAATACGCTTATACGGGGGGGAGGGGATGGAACTAAAAATGTCCCACTTGTAGTTTTCACCTATTTTCCTCTTTATTATGGGACTTAGGATTTGAAGCTATTAAAAATTCCATTTCTTACAACTACTGTGTGTAAAGCACGTCTTGTCTGCAAAATAAGCTTTAAAACATAGTCTCACATCCATACTCAAAATGTTCTGAAGGTTAATCAAGTTCTCACAGCTGTTTTATACTATGAGACTCAAGAATTCCAACAAAGAGAATGTAGCTTTATAGTTTAAGTTCTATATTTATAGAGATTATACATAATCAAACAAAACACACTTTAAACTACATTTTAGTAACCATTTTTTTTCTCAAAATGTGGCCTGAAACAAATAAAATTTTCAACCAGATGCGATAGAGAATTAAGAAAGCAAGTTATCTGGGAAGAGGCATAAATGTTTTGAAGTTATTTGAACATTATTTCAGTGAGCTTCTGCTCTATTACATTAAGTGTTATCCTAGAGTGCTTAAGAACATTTAATTTTTTTTTTTTTTAATTTTTAAACTTTGCCCTACTGGATTGCATAACATTATCCATATTCAGTGGTAGGTGGACAAAAATTATCTTAGGAAGATAGGACCTAGATTTAACTGAAATTAATATATGAAAATAAATAGATAAAGCCCAAAGGAAAAATACTCATTTAAATAGAGGAAGACATTTTGTAGAAAGATAACTCATTTCCAATTCATAGTGAGAATTATTAGATCTCTTAGAAACACATTTGGGTTTTTCTTTATTCCAGTCTGGTGTAAAATAGACAACTTCATTTTCTGACTAGACATTCCAAACAGCAACTAAAATTTAGCTGTATGTTTTATATATGAAAAACTATATATAAATAATACTATTTTAAAGGAGGCATTTTAAAAAGTTAGACACAGACCTAAAAACTATTTCAGCCACATATTTACAATCAAATCTCCCTATTCCCAGCAGTCTCTGTAATGTTAAAGGTTTCCTTTTAGCATGGTTTAAAAATCAATCACTTCACCCCTGCTTCTTTCACCCTACCCCCAGCCGCCAGACCACCAGCTACCAAAAATCTCAACCACTAGATTAAAAGAGATCCAAAGACATAACAACCAAGTGCAACATGTGAACTTTGTTTCGATCCTGATTTTAACAAACCAAATATATTTTAACATTATGATTTAACAAATATGATTTTAACAAAACAAATATACTTAACAAAGATGTTGTCAAGTAATACAGGAAATTACATATTAGATGACATCAAGAAATTATTTACAGGAAGTGCCAATAGCACTGTGAACACGGAAGAAAGTGTCCATATTTTAGAGATGCATACTGAAGTGTGTAGGAATAAAAATCACACATTGGGAATGTACTTTATAGTACTTCAGCAAACAACTACGAAAAGGGACAGATGAAGCATGTGTGACAGAACTTTGGTAACTGTTGAATCTGGACGATGGATAAAGGCGGTTCATTAAATTATTCTCTCTACTTTACACATTCATATGTTTGAATTTTTTCATTTAAAAAAAACTTCCCGTACTTTTATATTTTTAAGGATTGAATTTACTCCCCAATCACTGGATTTTATTTATTTTTAAAATTAAGATAAATGCCTTGTATTTCATGGGATAATTTCTCTAGTTTATTACTAACATTGCCAGGTTGGTATAATCCTCACATAGTTGCCCAATCAAAAACTGAAATCCAAATTCCTCAGAGCAATTATTGAAGTGTTAAGGATACAGTTACAGACTAAAGTATATTTGGGCTAATCTGTTTCAAAATGGGTGAGCAGGGAAAAGAGGGAAAAAAAGAGAAAATTAAAGCAGAAGTCATTTTTTTGTGTGTGATCTAACCATCCAAAAAAGTTGGAATTACAGAAGTAAAGAAAGCAAAAACTACTTGATCTCATATTATCTGTGGATTTCATTTACTTGTATTTTCTTCTTCCCCAGCATAGGACCATGGGCAATTTAGAATTAGCTTACAGATAATGCTGCAGTCTAAGGTCAAGTCTTCTGTAGCGATTTACTATGTAGGAAAAACTAAGGGGAAAAGGAACTACATAAGATAAGGGGTACTTTCCGATTTCCTTACTTTTCCTATCAAGTGCACTGAAATACTAGCACGAGGGTATTTCAAAAAGTTCCTGGAAAAACAGAATTAAAAGGTAATACAAATCTTTCCACGAATTTTTTGAAGACCCCTCATCCACTAAATACTAGTTCAGCAATGTTCCTCAACACTGTCAGTGAGCCTCTCCTGGGCCTCCCTGAGCTGGCAAACAGAGGTTCTAGACAACCAACCAATTCCGGAAGGCAGGCAGGTCTGGGATCAGAGTGGGCTGTCTCACTATGCATCACCCTTCCTTGCATCTACTTAGAAATGGCTCTTGACTATTAACCAAATCTCAATCTATCTAACTCCTCTTCCACCTCGATCAAATTCTCCTAGCTTGAAAGATTGCCTATGACCTGGACCCAACTCTCCTACTTAAATCTAACCTTAACTTTTCCAAATTCCTACACAGACCTTATTTTTGGTAAAGTTATTCTCTTTGCTGGTTCCCATATTAACACACAACACACACATACACCCCACAAACACATATACCCCATATTCCCAACTAAGCATTTGTTTATGGTCTCCATACTTATCCCTATTCATCCAAATTGATGAAACTTCTCCCAAATACTGCAATGGTACTCACAAGCACCTTTCTTTTCTCAAAGCTTCTAATTTACTTGGGGCAACTACTGAGCATAAGGTATACAGGGGTGTTATGGAAGGGGTGGAATTTGAGCTCGACTTCGAAGGATGTGTAGGTAAAACGGTAAAAGGCCCACATACCTGGGGTTAAGGAAGTAAGAGATGAGAGGACTGGAGAAATAGCTTAAGTCAAGGCCCCAGAAGCAATTCCCTGATTTAGATTCTTGGCTAATATAACTGTAAACAGTTATCCAGGTCTATTTATTCACTTGAGTATTACATACTAAGGACCAAATGCTCCCTGTTAATTTGGGGAATTTGAAGACAAAAGCCAGAAGAATAACTACTGAGCATAAGGTATACAGGGGTGTTATGGAAGGGGTGGAATTTGAGCTCGACTTCGCCGTTCTAATAGGTCAAGGCTGGCAAAGTGCCCTCAACAGATCCCACTCTGCCCAGTGCCAAGGACCCAGGAACCTCAGGAGCTCTGGGAAATGCTCAAGGAAGCACCTCCTACCATCTAGTCCCAACTTTCTTCTGCTCTGGAATTCCCCAGGATCAAACCAGCTTCTCTGCAGAGTCCTTTAATTGTCTGGTTTCCAATTTGTATGATGCCATTGGACCCTATTTCTCTAATTTCCTTGCTTCCCTGCTTCCTGTTCTACATCTCTCCCAGGTCAGTCCTGCCCCCACAGCCATACAAGGAAATTTGGTCCAATAATAGAACTCACATCCTTTTTACTAAAATGAAACATACTATATTTTAAACAAAATATACTTACAAGTTTTATTTAAATAATTATATTGGAAATATACCTGCCAGCCACAAAGGAAAGAAAAACAAACATTTATTGAATGTTTATCATACATCAGATACAACACCAAGCTTTTCACGCCTTCATCCTGGCAACAAATTATGAGAAAGTATTATTTTTTCCAACTGACAGATGAGAGAGTATATCACAGTGGTTAGGAACACAAACTATGGGTTATCTGGTTTAGAATCCCTTCTCTGCCACCTAACAGCTGTATGATCCAGGACAAGTTAGAAAACATCTCCATTTCTCACTTTCCTCTTCTAGAAAATGAAGGTTGTTGGGGGGATTAAATGAGTTTATTCTTGTAAGGTGTTTAATACGTTCTTAACAGTCATTTTCTAAAATTATCTATTATTATGAGAAAAGCAAGTTTAAAAGAGTTTCACTTGAACTTCTGATAGAGATGGGACAGTTGGTTTACATTTTGACAAGACAACCCCCATGCACACACACACGACACATATTAATAATAACCAAAACATATAAACAGAAACCCCCAAACTGGCCGAGATCAAAAACAAGATAATCACCCAGGTAAAACTGAATAGAAATGCAAAGCAGTGCATATGCTGATACCAGAGATCCACTGGGTTACAAATTTAGAAGCAGCAGTGGTGGCCAAGAAGTCAGTTCCTGTGGGGAAACTCACATTGTACCCAGCAAACAGGAAATTTCAGTGGCCTTCTCTCTCCTGAAAAGAGACTGAAAAAAGGGCTACTGCCAGTGCTGCCTGGGGCTGCAATACCAGGAAAAGCCATAAGCAGAACCAGGCCGACTGTTAATTCAGTGACTAGACTGGTGACATCCCTGATAAACTTGTGGGGTGGGAGACCCAAAATGCCACTATCTAATCTACTTCCTCTGACAGAGAGGAATGAGCCCAGAGAAATAAGTGAAAAAAGGTTTCCAAGCATAGCCAGCAAACCAAAATTCAAAATACAAAAATAAATGTTGTATTAAGAAAGACAATCTAGGCTGACCAGTTAGCTCAGCTGGTTAGAGCGTGGTGTTATAAAACCAAGGTCACAGGTTTGGATCCCAGTACCAGCCAGTCACCAATAATAATAATAATGATAATAACAATAATAAAATAATGATAATTCTTTAATTAAAATTAAATATAATCTTTAAAAAATCAATAATTAGAACATGAACATAAATTCACTCCATACAAAACTAATTTTACGGAGCAGTCTGACAAACACCTTAAAATAATGTCCAGTACACTCAAGAGATAGATGAAGGAGTAACTTCTATTTAAGAGCAAGAAATTATAAAAAACAGGCAGTACTAAAATAAGAACAAGCATACATAAAAACAAAGATTTTTTTTTATTGAATC